AGCAGCCAAGCCAGGCCTCTCATCCAAGCAAACAGTCACAGGGATGGCGTTCGTGCGCGTCATCATCCTCGTAACTGTCGACGTTCTTTGGAACTCTCGTGCCAGATCGCACAACCCCCCACCCCCCCCACTTCCCACACAGATGAGAATTTCTTGCATGCTGGTGTCCCGAGTGTGACTGTTGGTAGCATCACCGCTCTTATGCTGTTCTTCCCTTAGGTACCGCATGTTGGTCGTATTTGCTTGTTTCAACAGCTTGTTTGGGTTCTCATGCTCTTTCGTAGATCTTCGTAGTTTGTATCGACCGTCGTCGTTCTATGCTCAGTTTCGGTTGGGCGCGTTAAAAGTGAGCCCGAGCATGTGCTTGAATGACTTTCATGTAGGAGTCCAGGGACCGGAGGAGCACATCATGATCGCCATCTTCGTCGGAGGGACAGGGTGGAACCCACACCACAGGGAACCACAGGGGGGGAGCGGGGATACCATGGGGTGGGGGGGGGGAGGGGGGGTCTAGAAGCGCTGCACCATGTATGCATGCATGCATGCATGCATGCATGTATGTTTGTATGCACATACATATGTATACACACATAATGTATTCTGTTTATGTGTATATATGGTGCAGCGTCGCCCGACCCCTCTCCCCACCCCCCCACCCCATGGTATCGCCCGCTACCCGCTCCTGTGGTGTGTTGTGGCGTGGTGTGGTGGTGGGTTATGGGTTTCAATTAACCCCCGTGGTCCCCCTGTGGTGTGGTGGTAGGTTTTGGGTTATTTAGCCCCGCCCTCTCCCCTCCGGGGTGTGGTGTGGTGTGGTGGGGGGTTGTGGGTTTCAGGTTTAGTGTTCAACCCCTTTCCCCCCTCCCTGTGGTGTGGTGGTGGGTGTTGGGTTTAGGGTTTAGGGTCTGCACTCGAACCCTTGCTGTGGTGGGTGTGGTAGGGTTGTTTAGGGTTTATGTGTACAGATATGAAGGGTTTAGGGTTGAAGGTCAGCAGCTGCGCGCGGCACAGACCGAAACCATGGCCCATCCAGGTGAGTGTCGCCTCTCTGGACACGCCACGAAGTTGCATAGCTTCCAAAAGTCACACGAGGATCCCGGGTTCCGGGGGCCCATCCCTGTGACTGTTGGCACTATAGAGACAAAAGTGACCACCCTCACGAGGTTTTCGGGTGCAGACCATGGGGGTGATACCATGGGTGGGGGGAGTTCCGACACGCGACACGGAACCACATATATATATATATATATATGTGATATGATATATATATATATATATATGTTTCTACACAGACACACACACACACATACATATGTAGCTCAGCTAGTACATGCGTATCTGTCTAGGTTCGACTTCATGTACTATGTTTCAACTATCACGTGATATGTGCGTCTATGTCTATGTACATGTCTATTGTGGGTTCGATGTCCAAGCGTTCGGGAATCGTGACGAGATAGTGCGACACAAGACGCTCTGGTGCTTGTCTCTCGAGGCCTGTACGTGGGCGGCCTCACTGACTCTTTGGCGAATATTTCCGAGGAGGAGCTTAAGAAGCTGTTCTCGCCGTTTGGCCACTTGGATGTACCAGTTTAAGGGGGTGCGTGTCGTCCGACCGATCCGACCGGTGAACATACAAGAGAACATAGGCCGAGGCCAAACTGGCGCAGAGCATAGCACAGAATGCACTTCAAAAGGCTAAGCTGACATCGGCAAAGGAGGACAGTGATATTCGCAGCTTTCCACGCTAGATCGACTGCATAGTCGAGCCTGGACAAGTAGAGGGGCTTCCACATCTACACCCGTTCAGCAAGGCCTTCGCAGAGACACTGTTGTCCTTGCCGGGGTTCGAGGGTTGCCGATCAACATGTTCCGAGTATTTCCGAGTGGCACGAGGTCTGCAGGAATCAGAAACAAAGGCTTAGCAAGCCGGACCAAACGGTGGCAGAAGGCGATGTTGGGCACAATTTCAACTCTGGGCCTGAGTGCTGAGGTGAGATTGAGTTCATTGATCTGCACAGGGATCCTTACACGAACAAGTGCAAGGCCGGTGCTGTAGTGAAGTGAGCGTCGCCCATAGTTCCGGAGTTCCTTTCCCGCTATCACCCGGTGCAGGGCTTCGCGTTCGTGCAGTTCAAGAACGCTTCAGAGGCGCGCGAGGCGATGACGGCCATGAACGGCTTCCAGCTGGCAGGCAGGAGTTTGGTGTGGTGTTAGACTGTCCTGCTGTTGCTCGTGCTCGACCGTCGCAGGCAAGGAGCTGAAGGTGGGTATTGCGCGAGGCTCAGGCGTTAGCAAGGTGACAAGCAGGCTCTTCAACGGAGTTGGAATTAATGTGCAAAGCTTTCCCTGGGCCCAGGCAACGAGCGACATGCAGCTTGGTGAGGCTGGTGGCGCGAACAATCTGGCAATCGGTGGTGAGAATCTTCACGAGGACTCCCGTCGTTGGGTGATCGAAGCCTTGCGTGCTCGCTGCTGATACAAAGAGCGGTCTCACTGAACCTTTGCTTTAGGATGCCAGTGCGATGGGCCCGAACGCCAGCCAGCTCGCACCTGAGAGCACCTTGAATGGGTTCCACCGTCAGTGCGGTGTGTAGGTGTGTGCAAATGTGTCCATGGACCGTTTTGCTGTCTTATTGTTAGAAACTGCAGCAGGCCCGGCATGCTGAAGGATGCAAACGACCGGCTGGCGCTCATGCAGAAGCTGCAGCGCGATACTATTCCAGGCCAGAGGCAATTGCCAACTGGGCCAACTGCATTCCACACGACAACTGAGTGGCAGCGTTTCAAGCTATTTCCCCAAACTTCGAGGCTACAGTGGGCCCGGCGTGCCATCGAACATTATTGCATCGGCCTCGGAAGGTGTCTCAGGTATTTGGTTTGGTGTGTCGGCTTGCCGCAGCTACCCGTCCTTTCACTTGCACCACCTGCTTCGAGAGAATCCTCTCCTGGGCTCTTAGCTAGAAGTATGAGTGTGCCAAGCTGAGCAGCTCTGTGGCCTTCGGGTTTAGCATTAGTCGTAAACCTACATGTTGATGTGTGACCGTGTCGCGGAAGTGTGAAGATTTGACCCGGTGCCCTCGATGGTAGTATACATTGGTGCTTCGGACTATGTGGCCAAGTCGTTGGGCCGTGCGCGCTTAGCGAGAAGGTCTGCAGTCCTTCGGGGCACTTTGGCCTGCCTGTGTCTCTACGCCGGGACGAACTTTGTGGCCGTACGCCCCAGCAAGCGCCGCGTTCTCTCTGTGGTCCATGCTCAACCGAAGAAATCTCTGGCAGATGCGGGCGATCAGGCTTTTGAGGAGTTTGTGGAATTCTTGAAAGGGCAGCAAACTTCCATCATCAAGCAGCTTGAGGAGGCGGAGAGTACATCGAATGCCACATTCAGCTGTGACCCTTGGGGATCCTTTGCCGGGCAGGAAATTAGCAGCGGAGGTATAACGCGTGTTCTGCAAGGTGGAGGTATCATTGAGAAGGGCGCATGCAGCTTCACGTGTATTCAAAAAGGAGTTTTGTCAGAAGAACGGGCAAAAACCATTCGCGCGCGTCAGGAGGATGTTCTTGCGCAGGCAGGGGACGAGTATTCCGCAGCAGCGCTAAGTATGGTACTTCACACCAGAAGCCCGCTGATCCCCACCTTCCGCTCCGATGTGCGAATCTTTTCTGTCGAATCGTCCGATGGCAGCACTACTGCATGGTTTGGTGGAGGAGCAGACTTGACTCCATATTATTTGGGAGATGAATCCGACATCCAGTCCTTCCATCAGGTGTACCATGACTTATGTTCAAACACACTGACAGCGCATCCGTCTTACACCTATGAATCCATGAAGCAAGCCTGCGACAAATATTTCTACCTGCCCGCACGGCAGGAGCACCGCGGCACAGGCGGTATTTTTTTCGACGACCTGCCTGTGGACCAAGAAGCAATGGATTTCGTGCAAGGTGTGGTGGAAACGTGGATGCCTTCCTGGCTGCCCATCGTCGAGCGCCATCGCAATGCAAAGTACACTGAGCGACAGAGGCACTGGCAGCTCCTCCGACGCGGTCGCTACCTGGAGTTCAATCTGCTTTACGACCGCGGTGTTAAATTCGGGCTTGCAAATGCAAACCCACGCGTGGAGGGAGTTATGGTGTCAGCACCGCCCCTCATCGCTTATGAGTATAACCACGAGATTGAAGAAGGCAGTCCCGAGGCAAAGATACTTCAAGTTTTGCGAACTCCACGAGAGTGGATCCTAGCGGCGGAGCGAGAGCAAGCTCGACCTGCTTGATGCCCGCAGCAAAAGCTTCGCAGGGCTTCAACGAAATTAGATTCAAGCTTGAGCTACAAAGCGGGAACATAAGAGAAATTCGGGCACATATGAGACGAACTCTGGAGCTGTATTCGCAGCAAGTCGCGGTGTCGCACTTTAGTGGTGCTGTAGTAGATCAGACTGGCCCAGGTGTCTTGTTGAAACCCTGAGCAGACCCGAAAGACCCGGTTCTGGGTTTTTGCTCTTGAAGGTCATACAGGCATACCAGAGTGCAGCATGAACGAAGTGTCCCTGCTTAGGTGCTGCACGGCATGTTCAACCCGTCGCAAGTCAACTTGGCGGCCGATCCAGAATTCTTCAACGATATCCATGCAGATGTTGAGCAGGACCAAGCTGCAGCTCCTCTTGCGGCTTCTGCGACGACTAGCACACCAGCACTACCGCTGCTGCGACGCTGCTACTGCCTTACTACCGCTCTTAATGCTACTGAGCATGTAAACACGAACAGCAGTTAGTTGTATTTGACAGCATTGGTTCCCGTCGCGTATGCAATAACATGGTTTTTTCATGACAACGTCGGCTGACAGTAGTTATAGCTTAGGCCGTAGCAGTTTCAACAGCAGCATTAACAAACACAGTCGTCATGATCGCGGTGGTGGTGGTAGTGGTGGTCGTTGGCTTCTTGTCCTGGTCCTTAGCTGTCCTTTACCTCCAGCTGTTGCTCCTGCTGCTCCTCCGCCTCCTCCTTGCTGCCAGGAGTGCCGAAAGTATGGCTCTGTCGTGAAGGTTTTTGCCGACCAGGGCAGCAGCAAGGGCGATGCTCCTTCGCTGAATCCGAGTTAGCACATGCAGGCGAGACCTGCACGTTCCTTGCGCGTTCAAGGTCTGGGTCAAGTTCACCGACGCAACCTCCGCCTCGAACTGCCAGCGTGCACTCGACAGGTCGCGCAGTGGCAGAAACTCTATGACTATGCAGTGCATGACGTTCAGAAGTCTTCTTCGCCTCTGTGGCGAAGCGAGGCGTTGGTTCGCTGGGCAGCAGATCATCGCGGAATTCAGCACCGAAGCTGCGAGCGCCCCAGCCAACGGCAAGCCAAGGGCACGTCATACGGGCATGTTCGCCGGGGGCTCGCTCGTGCCGCTAGTGCTGAGCTGATTGGAGGCCTGGGCAGGCGTTGTGCGGTGAAGGCGGGCGGCCCTAAGCAAGCAGCAGAGATGTTGGCAAATGAATATTTCTTAGACATGCTTAGACGCATCAGGTCTTGCCGGCGAGCGACAATGAGCGAGTGGTGTTTTGCTACCAAGCTGGGCTCAGCTCAGCTTTCCTGTGCGGACGTATCAGCTCACAGGCTTCCCCTGAAGCCCTAATTATCCCAAAGCTGGTGCTCATGCGTGGCACGCGTGTTGGGTTATGGTTCCGTCCGCTGGGAGCGCACACGCATGATTGTGCGCATTAGTGGAGCTTTCGCGCTCAGGGTCTGGGCCCGCACTTTCAGAAGAGGGCTACCGTCTAAAAAGACAGCCTGCCGTTTCTGTTCCGTCGCAGACACACTGGTTTCTAAGCGGGCTCAGGACCTTCGAATCCGGGCTTCAAGAAGTCCTTAGGCCCTAGAGAGCAGTGCCTCTGATACTGGAGGCAAGCAACAGAAAGGCTGGAAGATGTTAAGGAAAGTCAACAGAACGTGAAGCACTTTCCTTTACTGCATGCGCCAATGCCTCCCCACAAGGCCGTCCGTCCAAACTGAGCTTGATAGACCTGAGAAAGCTTGGAAAAGAGACTTAGCGCCGCTATTGCTGCTTGCTGCTGTGCAAAGAGCTCCTGAATCCCTGACAGGTTGCGTGTCGATGTACAGGCCGTGATTCCGTACCACGGAGCATTCTTAGGCCCAAAGTGGCCACTGCTTTTGCTAAGCATCCTTTCAAGGCAGGACATTTCAGGACGTCTCGTTTTCTCGTCTCATTGACGGGCTTCCTTTAGACTATCTCTGACTAGACCCTCACTGATGCGCCCTGCTGCCATGGTCGCGTTCGGTTTGCGCACGCGGTGCCCTGGTGCAGGCTAGGGGCGGTCGCGGTTTGATGCGGTTGGTGCTTCGGTTGTGACGCGCATTGCAGGTAAGCTCCTTGGATGGAGGGCGAGGGGCTCTGCAAGGTTGGGCCTGGGCCTGGGTGCTCACTGTTTTGTCTGTAGCTTCGAACGCCCGGCCAGGGGCAGGACTACAGAGCGCGTCACCACCTGAGCCTCCGGGCGCGCTTTTGTGGATCCTGGGAGCAGAAGAGCAGGTGCAATTTGTGTTCTGAGACCCCGACGACCTGCCGAGGCCGCTCTCTCCGACATGGTGTCTTCACAAGCGAGGCTGACGGCCGACCATGACGCTCCAACTTTGGACCTGATCTTTCCGGATGGGTGCTCGCACGGCCAGGCTTTGCTGCTGCGTGGCTCGGACCGACTCGTGGCGAGGCGGGAGCAGGGAAGCCGCCGGGAAGCCTGTAAAGTTTAGCCTGGGGCCCATGCACGGGAGCTGCCGGGGCTCTATAGGCCCGAGCTGCTGGCGGATGAGGCGACCCAGGCGCGATGTGGCGATTCTGAGCCCATTACGTCGTTACGGCCCACGGCTCTCGGTTTCCCGGCTCTGAGAGGCAGTGGCGTCCTTTGGCCACCAACAGCTTTGGGAGGCTCCTTTCGACGTGGCAGTCGCTACTGCATCCTGGCTTCCGAGGGTGCGGTGTGTCCTGCCAGGAAGCCCTGCAATTGGTCCGCGGACTGCGAGATGTCCAAACTCAACTGAGTGGGGACTGCTACGAGGTCCTCACCATTCTGGCAATGTGCACGTCTCACGCCGATGCAGTATCCTCGTGGAACTCCAGGCGTTGCAGCACGCTGTTCAGCGATCATGGCCGCAGGCGGCCTCGCACAGTGAGGGAGAGAAATGAATTCAGTGTGAGAGGGTCACCGAAACAGGCATCCCTGGGAATGCCCGGGGATGATGCCCCGCCCCGATCCAGATAGGAACAGTGGTGCGGTACTGACACGTAATCCTGCCGGACAGTAGAACTTAGCTTGCGGAGTTTCGGGGCAAAGGAACAAGTGCGCGAGAGAGCCTGCCGGCAAAATGGGTAGCAAGCAAGAAGGAACGTAGTGCTGGGCCGGACCTGCTTTTTCGCAGCATGTTTTATCCCTGTGGCATTGCAGTGCCTCTCGCTTCTCCGTCAACGAGCTTGCTGGGGCATCCGCGAATCGACGTCTGCGATCCTGCAAGCGAGCACGGCTCTGAGGACTGGCGTCAGCGGCTCTGTGCCTGAGAATCTGAGAGCCAAAAGAGCCAAAAGAGCCATATGAAAATTCCCAGCCCAAAGGCGAGAACGGACCGAGTGCCTTTTTGCAGGAAGGGTCGGCTGGACAGCTGGACATGGTCGCTCCGCTTGCTGGGCATGGCCCGCGAGCGGAAGAATGGGGACAGCAAGACGAACTCACGGAGGCAGATTGTGTCGTCTGGTCCCGCAGAACGATATTAACGATGTTGGAACATGTGCCCAGAATTTGGTGTTGTGCACAAGCAAAGCGGACGATCGGCTAGCGCTGGCGACCTGAGACAGGTCATGGAACGCGAAGCCTGCGAAGCCTGCTTATCTTGCTTGGTCCTTTTATTGGGCCCGTGCCTAAGCTTCGAAAGATGAGAGTGTCAGAGCAGCAGAAGGAGCCGCCTGTAGCTAAGTCAACTCTTATCGCTATCTGTTTCAGCGCTTTTTAGGGTTGAGCAAACTTCCATTCGCACAAAGCAACAGCGTCAACAGCAGCAGCAACAGACGCGTCTCAGAAGTGACTGCGGAAGCAGCGGGCTGCAGCAGCAGTGGGAGGCATCCGGGCAGAGTTCGATCCAGCATGCTCGATTCGCATTTGCAGTGGCGATGCCCAGGACGCGTGTACCAATACCTTCCAAGAACTTGCGGCTGCAGGCCACTTCTTTCCTTTACATTCCTTCACAATGCTACAATACAATACGTATTCCATGATGTTTGCCTGCACAGTGCTGAGTCCTTTTCATTTGTAGCATTGTTCCTGGAAGGCAATTGGAGGTGGGCCATCCATCTTTTTGGCGAGTTCCTCCACGAGTCACCACCTTGGGAGCGGGGACCCCAGCCTATTCTCGGATCACACTCAAGTTCGCTTCTCAGTCCGTCCTCGTCATATGTATCATCGACAGCATCGTCAGCATCATCCTCATCGTCAATCAGTCTTAGCACCATCATGACCTTGATCAGCCTCTCATCATCATCGTTATCGCTGCAGTCGTCATTACCATCATCGTCATAGCGATGGTTGCTTTAATGTCATCGTCATTGTCGTTTGTATCCTCATCGCCATCGTGACTTGCCACCATTATCGTCGTGCACTTCATCCTACGCAACAGGCGCGGTTTGAGCACTGGCCAAGATGCGAGCGATGCGATTCAAGCACGATTCGAGCCTGCCACCGGTTCGAGCACAGCCGTTTCAAGAACTAAACCAGATTCTTGCACTTGCCATTCGAGCACGCGCGATTCAAGCACCCGCTGTTCAAGCACCAGCCGATACAAGTACTCGACGGTTGAGCTGAGGGTTGCACGTTTCGGGTTTAGGTCGGGTACAGGATTTTGTGATTTGGGGTTCAGGGTATCACCGAGCAAGGAGGGTCAAGTGTTTAGAGGTTAAGGAAATCATCCTCATCACCTGATCATCCTGGTAGTGCTCATCACCCTCGGCCTCACCTTCATCGTTCTTGTCGTCTTCATCACCCAGAGGCGGGAGAAACACTTGCCCCCGCTGAAGGTCGGAGGAGTTCTTCCGCATGAGGGAGAACTTACTGGACTTGGTCGTGATGTCCTGTGGAGCGGCAGGCAGGCGAAGCAGCGGCACTTCCAGACCCTAAGGCCCCGCGCCTTGTGCAGGGCGGTGGAGAATGGCCCTGAGCATCTTCAGCAACATGAGGTTCATCCAGGTGGTATATAGTCCCTTGTTGTATTGTTGTTCAAGGGAGCGCAGCGGTTGCACTTCGGACTCAGCGCCCGTCAGGTGGTTCCTGGGCAGCTGGCATATCAACAAGTTGTGATCGCCTGTAGAGAGGCACAGGGCCGGCACCGTCAAGCCCAGAACGTTGCAACAAACAGCTTGCAACCAGGCGGGGGCCTTCACGATCGCCGATCAGCTGTGCGAGGAGATGCGCATCTGCACCGGACATGTCGAGATCGCTCCTCAGGAAGGACAGCTAGCAGAGTTGAAGGTTGGGGGGGGGCAATTTTGCAGCCTCGGCTTCTGGGACGATCCTTGCATCATGGAGTGCTGTAAGCAGCCGGGTGCATCTCAATCAGAGCCTCGTTGAGGCACGGCTTGTCCATCAGTCCGGGCTTGGAGAAAAGCCACCTGCGCATGTGCGAAGAGGCATCGGCTGGGCAAAAGAGTTTCTGTCAAATCCTGAACCGCTGAGCCTTCTCATTCTCGTTCTGAGGTGGGCGATTGGCAAAGGGCACTGCAGGTGCCAGGTCCTCGAAGATGTCGCGCCATGTCGCGCCCACATGCGTAATCTTTTCAGACACGTCAAGCGGCCAGTTCTGGCTGTTGAGAGGATGGCCCTGCCGAGGTTGGGCGAGATGCAGTGGTATGCGAAGGTCAATGCCCAGCCCACTGCGTGTTCTACGAAGTCCACAGCCTCCCCATGTGATGGTAGGAGATGGACGAGATCGCATGCGGCACCGCGGCTGCTGCAATGCGCTCGGCTTCTTTGAAGGGAGGCCCACTTCTCTGCTCTTGCTCTCCTAGAGCTCCTAGAGCTCCGAGGCCTGTGCAAATGGGGCGGCTTGGGAGGCAGCTCTCGCGCTGCAGAGCACGGAAGCTCAGCTCATCATGCACTCGTGCATTGTCTCGATATCTTGTGCATGAGTGGGAGTCGTAGCCGGACGACATATCATAAACACATTGCTGCCAGAACTTCCCGAGCATCTGCAGGCACTTGGCTCCAATCTTCAGTTTCTTCGTCGAGCCATGCTGGCCAGTGGCCACAGGCATAGAAGGGAGTCCCCGATGCATCGCAATGGCCTCGCGGCTATGTCGCGCACGGCTGCGGCTGCTGGAAGCCAAGGCAGCATCGCGCAGAATTTCCGTAAGATGAGGCGACCTCTGTCTGCCATCATTTTTTCTTTGGGGCTTGCAGGTGCAGCGGGGTCGGGGCATTGCACAGAATGCGCAGCACCTTCGCTGATTTCACCCAGTATCGTCGTTTCAGCGACTAGCGCAGCTAACATTGCTGGATTTGCCTGAGAGCCAAGGATTCATGCAGTGCAATCACTAAGTCGACGAAACTGCTGGGACGAGGCTCTGCAGCTCGGCCGGAAAGTCTGAACCATGCTGGAAGAGGCATCTAAGAGATCTAACGGCTGAGTCCCTTTGTGTCCTGGAGTTGGTGATGCGGTCTCGGAGTTGCAGTCCCAAGCCTGCCTAAGGCATGTGGTGGAAGGCTTTATAGGGCACGCTGCCGCTCGGGTCCCGTGGGTGCGGATCTCGGTGCTTTCTCCCAATGACTATCCCTTGGGGTGTGTGTGATTGTCAAGGAGCCACTTGTCATGCTGGGGCTCAGCCTTGCCAACGAGTCCCGGCAGTGGGAGCGTGCTCTGCGTTTACAGGCGCTTCAAGCAAACACAAGTGCCCTTAAACCAGCGGTCTGTCTTGCCCTTGGCCGCTTGCCTGCAGGACCTGACCAAGCGACACCACGGCGGAGGAGGCGGAGGAGGCCAGGAGCTATCGCGAAGCAAATTTTTCGCCCCTTCCCGCGAAAGGCTGGGTCTCTGGGCCCCTCGGCGAGCTGCTCCTCGCAGTAGGGCGCTGGAAGCACGCCTTGCAGGAGGGGCCTGCACTTCCCAACAGCATCCCCTTTAGATGGCTGCCTTGCTACTCTGGTGCTCTTGAACTTGGTGCCACCTGCCAGGTGGCGGCCAACCCGGATCTTCGAGTTCGCGCTGCAGCGGCAGGGCGACTCTGGCAGGACAGCCAAGTGAGCTTTGCATGCTTTGCTTGGCCATGAGTGCCGGTCCCCGAGAGCCTCCTCGAGGCAGCTTATCATCTTGTCGGAGGCATCGTGGAAAGCATGCAGCAGCACAGAGTGCCCATGCCTGCATTCAGCGTTGTCAGCTTGTTGTTGATCTTTGTTGTAGTGTCTAGCATCATTCACCCTTGTGTGAGGTGTCAGGGTCAGGCAGATGCATCCCTGCGTCGAGCCTGAAATCGGTGCTGTGGTTGCATCTCAGCTGGAAGGCTAAGTGTGGCCAGCAAAGTAATTCATGCCACTTGCGATCTGCTGCCGTCCGATCACCTTACGAGGCACGACGCTTCAGCAGTTGGATTGTCGCAGCAGGCCTGTCTCTGAAGGATATATTGAGACACGGCCACAACTACAGTAACTACAGAGCATACGAGCCACACAGGCACTTGTGACGCGAGGGCATGTAATTTCGCCCTTAATTGCTTGACTGCTTCACCGAATTTGCGGCATCTCCCACTTTTCAGAACACTGCCCTTGGTTGTTTCGCTGGCCCCATTCTGCACCCATTCACATCCACAGACGGCCAGAGCAAGACAATGTCGTGTCAGGCGATGAACATGGCTGTCGATGCAGTGGCACAGAAGCACCGCGCGAGTCTTGGCATGTCAGTTGGATCCTGCTTGTCCAGACTTCGCCGCAGTGTGTCGTCTCTCGATCAAGACTCAGGCTGGCAGCAGGCGATTCAGCTACTTGAAGCAGCAAGGCTGCTGCAGAGGTCGGACATCATCACACTCAACACCTGCCTCACCGCTGCTGTACGTGCCTCGGTTGAACACGAGGCGACCGAGGGGAGTCCGAGGGGACTCCGCTCTTGGTAGGCGTAGCTGCGTAGCTTCCCAGGTGCAGAGAGCTGGCAGCAAGCCTTGGCACTGCTTGCAGATGGCCGTAGCCACTTGGTTTCGATAACCGAAGCGTCCGTCAGGGCTTGAGAGTTGTCCTGCGTGATTTGGCTCAGGTGCCAGACTGCCGCTGAGCAGCGTGTCGCTGGGTGCTGGCCTTGATGCTGCGCAGCGTGGTTCTGCATGGCAGCTGGCACTTGGAATGCTCAGCCAGGACAACCTTGCAATCTTTGAGTTCAGGACATGCAAGTACCCTGATCCTTGACGTCCCAGGAAGGCGAGCTCGCAAATGCAGTCGCCATCAATGCTGCAGCTGGAGCTGCAGCTACAGCTGCGTGTTGGGAGGCAAAATGCACCGTGGCACTTTTCCTTCAGCTTCTGTTTCTGTCATTGGCAGATTGCACTGGGGCTCTTGCAAGATCATCACTTTCTCCACAATCGCCTCGGTCTGAGCCGACCCAATTGGTGAGCCAGCGAGTTGGAAGGATTACAGGCGAGCACGGCAAGCAACGAATCAGTAGGACATCAATAGACTCAACATGTTACGTGTATTGTCCTTTTTGATCTACCAGCACGGACTTGCAGGCATTAAGAGTCATGAAGAAGAAGGTAGTCCAGATTGATGTTGTGCAGCATGGATGTGTTCTCGTGGTTGCCGTGTCGCGGATTTTCCCTGGGGGAGTCCTTCCAGCCGTAGCCAAGGTCCAGACGTTGTGGCTTGCACCGTTGCCATTTCATCCTGCAGTGCGGCCTCGCGCTGGGAACAAGCCCTTTCGCTGTTGAACTGGTGCGCCAATGGGCCGCATAGAATGCAGGAAGTAGGTGCGGCTTGCCGGGCAGCCTGAAGCTTGCTGCGCAGGTACGGTGCGCGAGGAGTCCAGCCTGACCTGGTGACGCTTCAGCAGATCCAGTGCTGTTGTGATGTCAGGCCCCTAGTTGTCTTCCCAGTACCTCTTAATATCGTCTGCCAGCTTGTGGAGTCAGTTGTCCGAGTAGTCGGGCAATGGCCTAGGTCGGCATGGTGCATCTGGATCTCGGACCGATTCCGATTCAGTACAAGAAGAACTTACGGAGAGTTTCTTCGAGGTTGGCTCTAGGACTAGGGCACATGCCGTGAGACAGAAATTCGAGATTGTGAAGAGTCAGAGTTAAGGGTGTGGCTTGCAGGCTCTTATCTGATGGATATGAGTGGGCAGAGCGTCGCCAGAAGGGGGCGAGTCTGGCAGCTCTTTGGTGAACATTGGTGATGGTCCGTGGTTGTGGGGGATGGCTTGAGCTTCCCCCGTGCAGCATGAAGTACAGGGACTCGGCCTCTTTGTCGTTGCTCGTGGTCGCCAACATGCTTAGCAAACTTATGCATCGATCACCATGCAAATCATTTGCAGCGCCGGCTTCTCCTGTGAGGTGGTGGCAGCCCAAGCTCTGGAGCAGTGGGCGGCCTTGTCCAGCGAGGAGACCGATGGCGAGGGCTTTGCCGCTCTTGTCCCATGCCTTTCCCGTCCCAAAGCTGGGAGGACGCCCGCTGCGTGGCCCGTGTCCTCCGGCGCCCAGTCTTGGACGTGCTGCAGAGGCTGGCGGCATTCTTAGTGTAGGGTCTGTTAGGTTTTGTTAGGGTTTTACAGGCTTGCGGTGGTTGTCGTGGGCTTTGTTACTAGGCATTCGTAGGGTTTTCCGGGCATATGAGGCATTGATCGGGCAGCTCCGTCTCAGGCTCCGAGGCGATCCCAGGGCCCAAACCTCAGCGAGGCCCGGCCCAGGTGGTTTGAAGACAGGTACCGGGAATTCGAGGAGGAAGATATGAGATTTGAGGAAACATGGGCTGGCATAATGTTCATGAAGGTGAGGAGGCTGCACACCTTCGTGGCTGTAATGATGCACCCTAGCATCTGTAGAAGGGGTGGCACCATTGCGGCCTGAGTGGGGAGAGCAGGGACCTCTCCACGTCTCTCGCTGAGACGCTGCAAAGAAATAAAGAAAGGCACGCTACCGAAAGGAAGCACGACACGGCAGACCAGGCGGCTTATGTCTTAATGAAGCCACTGCAAAGTAAAACAGGCTCAAGGGAACCTCTAGGATAGGCATTGCAACTGCACGCTACCTGAAGGCCCAATTGTACAAAGGCAGGGGCAACAAAAGGGGGGCTTAGGGATTGGGGAAGTCCTGGAGTCCCAGCTGGGAGCGGAACGACGACAGCAGTGGTCGGTCAGTCGCCGATCTGATCGCCGATTTTGGTAATTTCAATCCCAAGGCTGCAAGCTGCAACTTGGCGTTGCGCCCTAAACAGCACATTGCTGCCAGTGCTGCGGGTGATCCAGCCAGATTTGCTGGTGATGCGCGGCTGGCTGGCCCACAACGCAGGCGGAGTGGAGTGCTCACGTCCAAGCTGGTAACGCAGGCCGGCGAAGAGGGGGCATTCAGAGAAGTAGTGCCGCGCAGATGCTGCTGCGTGGCCACATCGGCACGCTAGGTGTGCTGGGGCACCCCGCTGCCAGTACCTTCGGGTCGGCGTTTTGACAGCGCCCTCGCGGAAAACACAGAGAAAGGCAGCCTCTTGGCCCTGCAAGCTCCGGCTCCACGGCTTCGATGTCAACATCACCAGCCCCTTCGGAATCGGCGCGCGTCGGTTTGATCCGCGAAAGCGCACGAGGCTGCGCAGCTGACGCTGATGATGCCCTGGTGTGTTGGCCGGGCAAGTGAACGGCATGGTAGGCTGAAAGGCTTGCGCAGCTTGTCTTAGACTTGATGATGTGAGTTCATTAGGGTCTGAACAAGAAAAGGCCAAGTGGCTGATGCTGATGATGCTCTTTTTCGTCGGGCATGGCAAGGGCGGCTGCTGCCTGGAGGGTGGTTCGGACTGAATGGCGAGAATAATCGATATCAGCCAGCTGCCTGAGACCATCGCTGGGCACTGGCACTTTGGGACACTGTTCTGTCGACAACTTCCAAGCGCACGAAACTCCTAGTGACTCCTAGTGATCACTGACTTGCTCTTATTCGCGTTTTAATATCGCGAGCGGTCCTTAGTTTGCGTGCTGGACCTCTCCTGGCCTGAACTTTCTGTCTAACGGGCCTGCTTTCGATTTTTGAAGGCATGGTGTCAGGACGTCTGCAGCAGATGTGCTCCAGGTGACTTCGTTCCACTGGTAAAGTAGGCTCGTTTCCTGCGGGCCTGTCATCGCAAATCCGCCTTTCAGGCACTTGCCTCTGCGAGATGTCTTCCTTGAGTCGCAGTCCACACTAGGCTCACCGATGACAGCTGAAACCATGCTGGATCTTCATCTTGTTTTCACATCTCCTTCCATGCTGCGATGCGGGGAAAAGACTTCGATGCAGCCATGCAGTGCCATGCAGCATCATGTAGATCATGCAGCGAGACGGGTGCAGTGCACTCTCCAAGTCTGAGGCCTGGCCCCCACGCTCCTGACTGCCAGTCAAGCGCTGAGGTGCGCAAGTCTGCGTGGAGAAGTCGAGGATGGAGCCCATGTGTGTAGCACTTGCCAGGGCTATGCTGCATGCCGTCAAGGAGGGTGCTTGGTCCGAGCGCCCCAAACTCAAGACATTTCCTTCCGAGCCGGAGCCGGGAAGCAGAGAAGCTCGAAGAGATTTCTGTGAGGTGAGCTGTGGCGTGCAGCAGTGGCACTCTTCGCCGCCCTTTGTGACGGCATGGAACCAACAGTCGAGCAGGTGCCTGCGCCTCAGCGATTCAGGAGCACCAGAGTGACAATTTGCCGCTACCGCACCACACAAGAAACACTTGGAAACACTCGGCCCCAAATACGCAGCAAACTCAAATCCCAGAGTGAAAGCCCGAAGTGAAGTCTCCAAAGGAACCTTGCCATCGAGATCTGCAAGGAGTGTGAATGTGCACCCTTCGGGCCCACAGTGGCCTTGGTGTCCTTTCGAGAATTAAAGCTTGCACTGCGTGACAGGAGGCTCGTGCAATTCGGCCGATGTTCGAGATGTACAAGTCTGCAAGGAGGCTACCCAGCTTCCGTCCAGACTATGGGACTTTCGAGGCAATCCAGCACCGAATGCATCATGGCACATATGGGAGACTTAGTCGTTCGAAATGTCGTGACCCAAACGCTTCAGCCCCTTCCAAAACAGCCATGAAACTGAGCAGTTCGTCCCGGAAGGGCATATAGAATGTGCCAACTCACCGGCTCCCATGGCAGAACCTGGCGAGTGGCGGTACGCTGGCACCCGGCCAATACTGGTGGCACTGCCTTCTTTTCATGGAGGAGGCCATCCGGGGTTTATGTCACATCGTGTGTGGCCGTGACGTACTGGAAGAATGGTTTGAGGCTCAGAGCCTGCTTCCTCGAAAGCAGCTGACGAGTTCGATGACGAAGACTATCAAGGCAGTCGCTGATCGCACGCCTGCATGTCGCTGTCGACTCGTCCAGTGATCCTTGCAGTAGAGATGTCTCTTGCTTTTTTCCTACAGCATTTTGAGAGAGTGAGAAACTGCGTTCTTGGGGTTCGGCGCCTGGGAAATCGACCCGAGAAGAAAACGACAGAAGTGGAGGATTGAGAGCGATACTTCGGGCTCCAAGTGACTGTTGCCCTACAGAATCACGGACTGTGCTCGCCTTCCTGGGCCTTGCCAGGAGTTTTGCACTGATACCTAGCGAAGTCTGAAAGCTATCGGATAATGCAACACAGAAAGCGTGTGACCACGGTCGTCCTCCCAAGCCAGGCTTTGAACAATTCGGATGTACTCCTTAGGGGTGTCGTAAGAGGAGAGGAGGGACAAGCACGAGAAAGCGAAGAAGTATGATCGCCGCGATATTGCTTCAGAAGCTTCGGTGTTCCAGTGGAGCCCTTCATGGCCTTACAGTGTTCGTGACCGCTGAGCTTACGGACTGATTGTCCACTTGGAGGACTGCGCCTGCAAGACTGTAAAACTGTGCCAAGCATGCACAGTCCAGGTGTACCGGACGACGCGCAAACGTTTTGTTGTCGACGCGCAAACGTTTTCTGTACCCGGCGAATTGGTGGAATCCATTAATCAGCCCATCTGAAAAACCAAACCGCTAATTACTCTTGTTGGTATCACACCCCGTCGCTTGTTCGGCTGCTTGTGCACAGCTTGTGCTGCAGTATGCGCACATGAGCAGCTGTAGCTGCTGCACGGCTCGTTATCAGTTTGCCTGTCGTGCAGGCTTGCTCGGACGCGTCGGCATGGGGAACGGCGCTTTTCCACCTTCGTCCGGGCCATGGTCGGACGGCCATAGAATCATTCTCATGCAGGCTAGTCCAGTGACTTAGCTTCTATAGTCTATAATGCTGCTCATAGTGACCGCACTCTTTGAGTATGATAGCCATGTTAATCTTATGGGTCCACCGTGACGACTGCGATGAAGCAGCGAGTAGCATCAGCACCATGAGCTTTGGGCACGAGGGCTTTGCCACCTGCCCGCGTTGCCGAGGCCATGCGATGGACCTGGCAACGTCAACTGTCCCTGGCAGACATGCCACAGACTCAGCAACGATCGACTGCCCTTCGTGTTCTCACGAGTCCGACCAGGCCCGGCTGCCGGAGCTGCTTCGGGAGCGCCTTGAGGCAGCTCTGAGCCGTGCTGTTCTTTGAGTGCAGAGCGTCCCGGAGTGATGCCCCGCAACCTTTCGGCTCTATGGCTCCAGCTTAGTGCTGCGTGTTCCAGTACCGTCTTGGGCTGTGGCTTCACCTAACTGAGGCACAACACCAAACAGCTTCGGAAAGACGGAACAGGCAACAGGTACTTCAAGGATCCGACGCACGTCAAGCAATCGTAACAGTAACTAACGGCTCGCTGACCGGCGTTCCATCACTCTGAAGCCATGCTTCCCACACTCCCTCTGCAATCTGCATTCCCTGCACCAAGTGTCCCCTGTGCTGCAAGATGCGTGAGTTCGTGGCCCTCGACAGTTTCCGAATACCTCGGTTATCCAGGCTTTCTGCAGCCAAGGTACCGGTGCAGGCTACAAGGAGCCTGGCACAGCCGGCGCCTCCGACACGAGGTGCGGCTCTTCCTGGGAGAGGTTTGAGTTCTCCATCTCCGTGCTTTGAAGGCGCATCGTCCCTGGCACTGCCGCTGGCTGCACTGAGCTTGGCAGCTGCGTCTCGAAGTCCCAAGAAGCAGAGGTGCCAGCCGTCAGTGCCAGCCAGCAGCGCAACAGACGTTTCCCTCAGCTGTGGCAGGCGGACGTTGAACGCTCTCACCGGGGATGCCGAGTCGCCGCACATCGTCAGGACGGGTTCCATGCTGTGCAAGTACGAAAGAGGAACATTGTGACAACGTCTCCAACTGCAGGCAGTGGCGCTACGCTCGAAGTGCAGCCCTTGGGAACGAGTCGCCTGCAGGTTGGTCATGACAAAGAACGGAAGCTGAGGATCGCGTCTCCTAAACAGCCTGGACTGGACACGTTGGGGTCTTAGAGTTGGCAGCGCAGGGCACGACGGCACTTGCTGCTCCTGATGTGGACCACAATTCTTTGGTGTGCTAGTTACGGTTCTCTGCAAGTCATTGTGATCCGATTGCATTCCACCACAGTGCAGCAATTGGACATGCCGGTTATTGCGATCTGGTAAGGTTACCACCTGTGGGTGTACTTCGTTGACAGCTGTGAGCCTTCCTACGCAAGATCCAGGTTGTGCAGATTTTTCTTCGAGCCACTCGGTGCAACTGTCGCTCTTGCTTCTGGCCCCTTTCTAACTGTCCTGCCGTGGTGGCCGTGCTCTGCTGTGCGCTGTTCCAGGAAGGTTTGTCAAGGGCACAGCACCGCCTCGTTGCTCTACTGCGCCGCTGGCGGCCTCGAAGCCACGCAGAAGGAGGAGTGGGCCATGCGCTTTGTCAAACTGCGAGTCAGGAGCTGGGCAGTTGGGTTCTGAATCCCTCGGTTGCATGCCCCCCCCCAAGACCCAAAACGCTACTCGCTCTTCCCAGTTATAGGTTTGTTGTAATGAGGTCTTGGAGAAGTTACTTCAAAAGCCCAGCACAGTGTTGCACAGAAGCGGCAGGGCTGTTTCATAGCAGTTCCTTCGCGGCTGAGTCTCGTACCTGCCGTCACTGCAACCATACATCAGAAGCGCTCCTCTTCGTTTTTTTGGCTTCCTTGGATCGTGGCCGGCGGAACGGCCTGAGGCAGCCGTTCCGCTTTGCTTAGATGCCATCGTCCGCTCAGATGCCATGTCGACGTTCCAGAGCATGCGAGTTGCTGACCTACCGCCGAATCCGAAGTTCAACTCTGAGTGCCACTATCACCACCTCGATGCTCGTCCTGGTGCTCGTCTTGGATCATGGACCCCGTTTTGGGATTCTTACAGATACCTCGTCTACCGCTTTGGCGTGCTGCTGATGCCGTCGATCCACGTGAGTGCTGAGGGAAACTATTTCATCCCCGCAAGGTTCGTTGTGTACATGATACTCTTCATCCTCGTAAGTGGCATTGCGGTGCCTTTTGTCGCACCAGCCGTGGCGCTTCGTGGCATGGCCACAACCCTACGAAGTTCTTGGTCCGACTGGGTTGTTCAGCCGTTGGTGCTCCTCCTGTCTTCGGCACCACTGCTGTTGCTGTTCCACATCCATCGTGCCATCCAAGCACAAGATCGCTTCAGTGCCGTGGGCAACTCGAAGATCGAATTGGCTGGATCAATCCTGTGTTGTTGGATAGTCTCGACCTTGTTCCTCGGTGATGTATTTCGTAGTTGCACGGAGCGTGGTGCTTTTAGACATGCTCACCAACGAATTGCAAGAGATTGGTGAGCAGCGGGACTTTTTGCAGAAGGCTGGACAAGCCGAGTCTGGTAACGCCATGCATGATGAAACCGTGGATCAGTTGCACGAGTTCCTTCATTTCCAGAATCAGCATGTTAAGCTCCGGTTCAGCTGCTTGAGCTGTGTATGTGGGACCCCAAGCCTCAGCACCTCCTTGACAAGCGGTCTTACGAACCAGATTCAGCTGCAGCACCAGCAATTGCACCAGCAGCGTCTGACTGTGAGCCCTTCTGGCCGCCTCACGCCCCACCGTGGTGAGCCTTCTGCGCATCCGGGCCAGGAAAGACAAGGCATGTGGCTGGAGTCCTGTAACCTCGTTGCCGAGACTCAAGGCCACGAAAGCCTAGGTTGTACCGAACGGGTGGAGTCCTGGGACTTTGGAGTTCTGTTGCTTGTGACGCTGCTTTGCAGCCTGGTTCAATCTTTGCTCCCATCCCTGTGGCGCATCGCGAATGGAATCGAAAATCCCTGGGTGGCGGCCAGCAGGAGCGTGACACTATTCAGGGTGGTGTATGCCTTCATGGCCTTTTGGGCCACAATGCACTGGCTCAGCACTTGTGGCGGGCTCGTGTTGCGGCTTCAGAACCTTCGGCTCCGCGTGCTGGCCATTCTCTACCTGGCCACTCCCTACAAGCGTCGCGGGGCCTTTTGTGCACAGTACAAGAAAGACCTTGAGAAGCTTGTCTTGGTCAGCGATGGCGGAAGCTTCGATTCCTTCTCGCGGCCAGTAGACCAGACGGAGTTGCAAAAAAAAGGTTCGTCGTGCCTTCGGTGCGTCCTCTCTGCGACGGCGTGGCGTGTGTTAGAGGTGCCGGAGTTAGATGGAGAGGCTGATTCGAGCTGGATATCCTGCCTTGAGGCTCGGCGATTTGGATTGCTTCAAACCCTGCTGAGGGCAAACATGCTGGTTCTCGAGGTAATGCACAGTATTTGCTCTTGCTCCTCCTCTTCGCAGTCTGTGGCTGTGCATCGACCTTGTTATTGAAATTCGATGTATTCCATCCTGCACGATTCATCTACTCGACTTTTTGCTGCTTTAACCTGTTACTCAGCCTACCTATGGCCATTTGGATCATGAGCGAACTTGTCTCCGTCAACCATGCCATGAACGAAGAATTGCTCAAGGTGCTGCAATCTTGGAAGGAGCGCATGGACCGCATTCGCTTTGCGAACACAGCGCGCATGCAGAAGGGAAACGAGCGACTGCTTTTCGAGAGCTTCTTTCGTAGCTGCTGGGCGGTCTGAGCATAGAGTGTCTCTTTCCTGTCGGGTGTTGCCTGCGCGGAGGCGGTAGTTAATTCGAGACATAAGGCCGCATCCATGTTCACAAAGGCAGCCTGTGCCTCGAGGTGTGGCAGATCCGCTCGCAGACATGACTGACCGAATCAAGAACTGGCAAAGACCGGTTCGCATCTTCGGTATCACGGCCTCCTTCACCGTGCGCAACCGCGTGGTGTTCTCCTTTTTCACGTCCCTGGTCTATGCGGTGTGGCAATGCCTCCAGGGCTCGACCTGGTTGTCAGGCCTGGAGGAGGAGATGAGATCCATCAGCAACTTGAAGAGCCCATAGCGCTCGACAACGTGCGCAACCTCATATAATATGTTGTTCTCTTATCGATTTCAAGGATCGGCTGCAAGGGGGTCCGCAACTTGCCAAGCAAGCTGCCAGACGAGCGGGTGCAGCCAAACGAAATGCCTTAGAGGGCGCAAAGCAGCCCAAATTGCAAGTGATCGGCCGCATGACCCTGTCAAAGCAGACAGAGAAGCCACGGGTAGAGGCCTGCATGTTTTGCATTGTCTGCACTGGAAAGTCTTAGACCCTCAACATTGTGCAAGGAGATGGACTTGGAGCTTCCAGCATCGGTTCCAGATTTGCATTCTGTGCCTGAGCTGCAGTTTCCGACTAATTCCATTCTGTTTGTCCTGAACTGCGATGAGCCTGCATCGCAGGATGACCTGCAAAACTTGGTCGTTCCACCCTACACATTCACGCCCATGGATTTCAGCATGTACGATGTTGTCGTGGCAGCCGACGAGGCCTTTGCATGTGAGGTCCTGATCTTTCCTGGATTCCGCCTCAGCTGCGGGTCTCTCTGCTTTGTGAGGCTACGGCGGAGGCAGTGCGGCAGCGTCTGCGCGAGACCGGGCAGTCGGATCGAGATGAGCTCTGCGCGGCACATCAGCATTTTACAAGTCTTCTCCTGTTGCCATGCATGTCTTGTACTACAGGGCTCCGATCCGACTTGGGGCTGAAGCTACGGGCAGACGGTCACTTCCTTCCATAACAAGACTAGAACCTGTGCAAGCCAAAGCAGATGCAGAATCAGAGCTCTAAAGGCTCACCTAAGTGCAAACCAGCGGGACACTAACGCCCCCGAGGTCTTAAGTGATTTCATGGATGCCTACGACGTACTGCTCGAGGCGGAGCAGGACCAATGCATTCTCTAAGCTCCAAGCAGCTGCATTCTGGTTTCAAGCGAGGTTGCGATTCGACATAGAATTGTAGTGGTGTCGGCATCGAGAAGGCAAGCCGCAGAGAAGTCTTGAAACCCTGCACCGGCAGAAAACCTTGTCTGGTGGCCATGAAACACAACGCACTTTGCGCATTTTGACTGATCGGTGCGGGAGGAGAACCCTGTCCTGGAGCCTGCCCCCGGCATTGCTCAAGGCATCCTCAGCCAGGCACAGACTAGGGTCTTCTGGAGCAGTTCAAATCAGTTCAACTTCCGAAATCGCTTGAAATCTCTGAAGGACGGCCTGGCGCAACTGATGCCCGGCCAGCCCTTGCGCGGCACGCCTCCGCCGCGACCCGTGGGCCCTCCGCTGCCGGGCCTTCCTTCGGCTTGGCAGGCGCCTGTATGGAGAGTCCATGGAAGAGTGCAACAGAACGATGGAGTGCGGTAGTCATTATTCTGATATGTTGAGGAGCTGTGGTCCGTGGCTAACAGATGCCTGGCTGTCAATTGGTACTTTCCAATTTCGGATTTGCCGGCTCGATGCTGACTGTCACATGCCACGAAAGCTGCCGTAATCACGATCGTCTGGTAAGAGGCCAAGTAGGCATGTGCTTGCCTAAGGTGGCATTGACGAGCTCGCAGACACAGGACGTTGCAAGAACCTGCGGATGTGGGCAAGGGTGAGAGAAAGCATTGTGCGGTCACGGTGTGGCAGGATCTGCGCAGCCCGCAGAAGAGGTCGGCCGCATCCTGCACGCCGTTGTTGGGTTGGAGCGGTGCTTGAGAGCCTCTCGGCCGAGATTTGATGATGCAGGGCATCTTACCCAAAGGAAGACTGAGCTAAAAATCCTCTGTGGCTAAGGCAAGCATCCCCCCGAACATGCGCTGGTGGAACGACGAGGTCTGACCTAGCTCGGAGCTACGGCTGGGCCGTTGAAGCACGGTGCTGGCCCGCAGGTTCCACCAGGTTCCGCCAGCATATGTCCCCACATGCCAGCATGATCCTAACATGTTTCTGCACACGGCATTTGGCCATTTCGATTAAGTAGCGAAGATGCTCGTTGCTGGTAAGGCTGTGTTGAGGCTGTGTTGGCATGATTTCAATGCAGAATCAAGCCACTTAAGGCCTGGGTGTAGTTCCTGACTCGCCAGGCTAAAGTTCTCGTGCTGTCACTAGGTTTGCCATCGTTCCGGCAGCAAAGCTGCTTCGTTCCTGGAGCTCACTTGAGTGTTCACTTGAGTGTCTAGCAGTCCAGCCTGGTGGGCTGCGCGGTTGCTTTCACATTGACATGATGTTTGGTAACGTCAGGCCAGCCGGTTTGTTAGAACCCCTGCATGCTGCCGACGGCCCACTTTCGAGCAAAACTTCTATTGTCCACAGAAGCTGCGACTCAACTTTTTGAAGCGTCGTTCCGAGGGAGAGTTGTGCTTCGGGTGCCAGCGGCCAGCATCCTGAGTGTGGAAGATACATGTTGACTGCCAGATGATACGAAATCGTGGCAACTGGGTGCACGCCGCTAAATACACCCTCTGAATCCCTCCAAAAATGTTCACAGCCATCGTCCTCATGCCGCTGTGTAAGCTGCATGAGGGCTGACAGGCATCGAGCCCAATCGACGGGCGACGTGCCAGACCGCCGTCGAATGGCACCAATATTCCTGCTTGGAGAAAGGTTGTGGTCAGAGAGGTCAGCCATAGTCTCTGCCGGTTCGGGTCTGGTCTGCTGGGCTTCGTGACGGAAAGAGCCCTCGAGGACCTTCGACTTGGCAACGCTCCGGAAAGAAGCGAAGGCATGCGGCTGTTGATTCCGATTGATTCCGGGCGGGTTGTCTGAGGCAGGTTGAGGCATGCTGCATTCCACAAGTCGATGCGACGAGCTTTCGATGGCCAATCCTATCGTGGCAGATGTCGTGCGTTGCTTGCAGGTGTGCTGTGTGTGTGGGTATGTGTATGTACAACGAATAAACAACTGAATACATCAAAAAGGAACGGTTCAACAATGAGCACATATGAGATATGTATATATATATATATATATATATGTGTGTATCATAGGGCTCGAGATAGCCGGAGTGTAGACGGAATACTCTTGCCCCAGCACCGAATATCGGTGCGTCTCCGCCGACCCCATTCACGGGAAGCATCGGCGTTCACCGGGTTGGCACCGGCGACAGCGATCTACGAGATCCAAGATCCGTGCCAAAGCAAGACGAGGCCTGCCTTTGACGCTGCAACAAAGCCGTCGGCTTTTGTTGCATCACGGTACCGGCCCACAACAACGGCGACTTCAAGCCCCACCCGCCATGGGCCGAGGAGGGCGAGCGCCCAAAGCTCAAGGTCGGCCAGATGCCGCTCATTGGCAATACTGGCGGGGGGCCTATTCGCCCTCGCAACAGCGGCCTTGGCGACAGGACAAGGGTTGGGATCAGTCGTGGGACGTCAAGGCCCCGACCTTTCCCACCTACCAGTCCATGACAGTGGAAGCTTCCGTCGAGACGGGCAAAGGAGGTGGCAAGACCCCCCAGTGAGTGGCGGATTCTGGGCCCATGCAAGGACTGCAACATCTGTTAAACGCTGCCCGGAAAGCGGAGCAGAAGGTTGCCAAATTGCAGACACAGAAGGAGAAGGCCCACCTGCAGTGGCAGGCCTGGGACGAGGAAATGAAGAAGGCTTTTCTGCGAGAAAAGAAAAAGTATTCACAGAACCTCGACAGGTTGGAGAAGGAACTGGCCGAAGCCAGCCTGCACCTGGAACAAGCCCGGCTATTGGTTTTCGGGCCCCGGCCTGGGGATACGGAGGTGCCCGCGGCCATGGACGAAGACGATGGAGCATGGGAGGAAGCTCGGGGACTTTGGGAAAAAGAGTCCGAACAAGATCTCCAAGGCGTTATGGAACGAGCTCTTGCAGAAGCGCGCGCAGTTGGTTTGATGCCGTGCACGCCGCTCCGGACAAGGCCGGTACAGCCCATGACTCCGACTACGTCGCACAGCCGAAGCTCAGCAGTACTAAGGCCGTCCACGGACCCATATCTGGTTCCAGTTCAGGAGGTCGCGCCCGGTCCCAGCAGTACGCCGCCTGCCACTGGGGCTGCTATACCGTGTATCATTCCTCCCGGATTGGATGCCCCACTCCTGAGACAGTCGCCCAAGCACCCAGGACAACGGGAGGCTGGGGCTGTACGGATGCCAACGTCGACAGCTCCACCACGCGAAGGAGTCAAGGCAGCTACCAAGACCTCGCCAGCGCCGCCTCCTACTGGGCCTTCACTTGCCGAGAAGCTGGAACGGAGACGTGCTGTAGAGGCACATGGTGTGGCGCTGCGTCCTTTCGGCGTGGGTATGGCACCGCCAGGAGCAGTCCGGGCGCGCATTCTGGAAGACGACAGCGACGACAGTGGCGAGGCTACAGCGACAACGGGAAGCGATGCCAAGGAGAAACAGAACTGACGTCTGTCATTTCCGCCTGGGAGCCCTTGAGATGCCTGAGGGTGCCAGGGAGCACTTACGCTCAAGGACGGCTATGGGGCCCGGACCGTCTCGAATACCTGTTCTGTGGGCAGAACATGGGTACTCGGCGGGACCAGTTGCCCTCTGGTCAAGTCCGAGCGTATGTTGCTTGCTGGTTCCCTGTCGCAGCTGTACAGTCTGGTTGTGTACAGTTGTACAGTCTTGAGTCTGCCCAGGCAAGTCCCATTCTGATATGTGCGTCCTCGCTTCCGTTGTCCTCGGCTGCCTTGTCTCTTCCTTCAGCTTTGGTTGAGGCATGGGTGGGCCCCCGCCTGGATTTTGTCTGCCATTGCCGCTGTGCCAGTCGCCATAAACAAAGCCATGCGCCCTCGTGGCGTAAGCCCTGCTTACGGACCGGCTGCTGTTGTTTTGGTTGTAGAGCGCGCAAGAAGTGTATCGGTCGCTCTGGGACACTCGCCTCAACCAGGACTCAGTATTGCCAATCTGTGCAGGCCATACATCACCCGTCAGTGTGTGTATTTGGGTGTGTTAGATATTTAGCAGCAGTAAGCTGTGCACACTGCGCTGGCGTCAGTTGTGGGCCCGCTTCCTTCCCGGCCCCTGCCTATGAAGGCCACCTCAGCACGCAACCAAGCTCCCTTTTTGCTACGCATGGTGCCGGTTTTGTGTGTGGACAGCAGTTGAAGGGTTGCAGGAGAGCGCGAAAGAAATGCATCGGTCGCTCTGGGGCATTCGCCTCCTCACACCCGAGTTGTGTCCTCCATGTCGACACTGGCGAGGCGGCCTCTTCTGAGTATGCCTCCTGTTTGGAGTTATGCATGACGCTCTTGCATCTCCTTGCTGCTTCGGTTGTTCCCCTCGCGCGGAGCCTCCTCTTCTGGGGCTTCCTGTGCCTTGTGCAGCTGTATTTTGCTCCATGGAGTCGTCATGTGCCAGGCGGTCGCAGGTTTGCCAGCGAGGTTCTTGCAAGCGCCCCGCTATGTGTCTGCCAAGCGTTTGGGGTCGCTACTTGCCAACGAGCGGTTTTGAGCTGGCAACCATGGACGGATCGGAAAGGACGGTCCAGTTCGCGACGGCCCATGCCTGCCAAGCCTTGGAAAGCTTCCTCTCGCAGGCTGCCGCTTCTTGCTCGTTGCTGGGTGCAGTTGGGTTCTTTCAGTACAGCCTGCTGCAGCCATGGCTCGTAATCCAGAACCCGGGGAACCACCAGGCACTTCCTTAGGCGGCCTCCGACCCCCGGTTCTTCCACGGCCTGATGACCTCACGCCATATGTTGGTGACTGTGAGTTGCAGCTTCCCTGGCGGGATGATGCCCCGCCTCTGGATGACCGCGTCTCCTTAGATCATCTGCCTGCCCCCAGGGACGATAGTGCTGCCCCCAATAGAGAAAGGCTCGGCGTTGTTGTTTACACCCCGCATTACAAGGCTGTTACCTTGTCTGTGAGGCCTGTAACTGATGACCCTGCTCGGGAAATCTGCGACTTGGTGAGGCGACACGCCCCTGGTGTTCCGCAGGGACTTTTTGATTCCATCGCTATCGTCCATCCACAGCGGTTCCCGGGCTTTGGTTCCTTCATCCGGTTTAGCAGTTGTATCAGGGGCTGTGGAGAAGAAGGCTTTGCTGCCGTCATGATTGACTTAACCCGGGTTGGAGGAGGATACTTTCCGACGGTGCTGCCAAGACGTCTTGATTATGGGTCCCTTGTTGGCTTTGTCGAGCCTCTCACGGAGCGCGGGGATTACCCCTTATACTTCTATGTAGGGTGCCGCTCCAAGCCTTGGCCGCCACAGGCCATTGTGGAACTCAGAGATGGAGACGCAGTTACCGTCCTTCGGGACCCCAATGCGAGGGTAGCCAAGCACCGCTTCGAGGCTCTCTTTCAGGAGCCCAGGGAGTGGGCACAGCTGCAGCACTTTCCGGGACTGGATTATCGCGTCAGCATTTGTGCGTTGCACGGCAGTCGTCGATACTGTTTCCCTTTGTACATGCAGCAGGGGCAAAACATTGTCCAATACCTGTGTGAGCGACTCTCGTTGGAAGTCTATTCCACTGCCATGTGCAGCTTCCCGATTCAGGATCTCGAGGTGCACGGAGATCTATGCACGTTTGTTGTGGCTGTTGCGGATGTTGTTCCTCCAGGTTCTGCGGAAATACAGCGCCGGCCCCCACGCGACGTGTTCATCCTTTTGGACTTCCGGCCTTTGGGTCTCAAGCAACGCTTCGTTTACACGAACGTGCCTGTTATACACGTCCCGAGCATTGCTGCCCGTTTCGAAGTTGCCTTGCCCGCCGCGTATGAGCTTGGAGTCCTCGGAGGGCACAGAATCGGGGAGGACGTTCATGTTGATTCGCACACTCGTCTCCTCTTTTATGCCAAGGAAGCGGCTTCAGAGGACTCTACGAATAGTTGTGCTTCTGATAATACGGGTCATGGTGATGACCCTCCGGTGCCTGCAGCCCGTCCTCGAGCCCCACCGGCAGCCCAAGCGGGCCCGGAGGTACCTGTCCCTGTCAGACCGCGAGATCCGGCCAACGTGCGACACTTGGAGGCTGTGAGTCCAGACAGTGTCTTGCCGCTCGCCGTGGCTGACGAGGAGGCACTCGCGACCACCAGGGCGCAGCTGGAATGCAGGAGCAGAAAGATATGACAGTGGGGAGCACCAGCCCCCAGTATACCTTGCTTCTCCCGCTGCGGGCGTCGGCCCCTGGGAAGATTCAGTCACTTCAGGGCAGCCCCATGCATGTGGATTCGGGCCCGCCTCTTGCTGCTGCAAGCGCCGTTGATGGGGGCGTCAGGGCCAGCGGATGCCCACTTCCAGGGCCGGCTACGGGGGCAGGCTTCCTGGCTCCTTGACACAGGAAATTATCACGCTCATCTACGCGCCTTTCTTTCTGCCTGAGCTTGTACATGCCAAGGTTTCTATCCCTTGCGGCCCTGAGACCTTTCTGGCTGCTGTGAGAGCTGCGCGGGAGCCCACCCCTGGCCCAGGACATCCCTGTCTGTTTGCTGCCTTTCCCCAGCCCATGCTCTCCAACGCCATTGTACTGGCTGCTCCCCAGTGGTTGGCTGACCGGGCCGTTGTTTTGCTCGACTGTGTCCGCTACAATGGCGCACTTTTCAGTGAAGTTGTACCCCTTTCCCTGAGCCGGGAATCCCTGATGCTTGCGGCAGGCTTGCGCACCGACGATGAGGTTGAGGTATACGTACACGAGCTCACCCAGCACCTCGGACATGGACAGGTCATTACCCTTTTTTCGGGCATGACCATTTCATTCGTGCCCAGAGCTCAGCACGCCCCTGCTAGCCATGACTTGCATCATA